TGCAAGCTGAGTGAAGTAAAAGTAGGCCAATGTTATATGGAAATTACTATACAAGTTCATTAAATAGAGTAACATTTAAAGTAAGGTTTTACAAAGATTGTAGGATAAGAGTTGAATTTTTTTATATGTGTATTATGACATTTCACTTTCGACATAATAGATCTTCGGTGAATAACTTTTATAATTTATTATATGTGCCAAAAAAAAAAGACGTTTCGAGACCCCATTATATCTCCTTTCCGGCTCATCTTATGATACGTTAACCTAAAAATAAATTTTCTGTGTGCGATTGTAAGTAAAAAAAAATGTATACGTTTAACGAGTCTTACATCTTGCGAGTATGTTAACGCTGGCAGGTGTTCTTTTATCATTCTAAAACAAAATATTAAACACCACATTTTCGTAATTTATTGCAAGTATATTCGTTTCAACTACTCGATGCTTCTATAATTTAAACTTTTTGTTTGTTTGTTTGTAATTAAGCACAAAGCTACACAATGGGCTATCTGTGCTCTGCCCACTACGGGTATCGAAAACCGGATTCTAGCGTTGTAAGTCCGCAGACATACCGCTGTGCTACTGGGGGGCTAAACTTTTTGTATATTTTAAAGAACGTACGGTCACAATTGCTGGTGAATCATTAAAAATTCATCCCCATTGATACGAGGGCATACGGTATTATAGACACTATAACACTTTAACTAGTTGTGGAATCGAACCCCGAATTTTAGCGTTGTAAGGGAGGGACGGGCAGTGAGGGTAGCAACTATTAATGTATTGTTTTTATAAGAGTAAAGTTCGCCATGTGGTACAGATACGAATGTGTGCATTCCAAAAATAAATCAAAACAAAAAACGGTTTTATAGTTGGAGAGATACTGTTCCTTAACTCGATTTTTTTAATCTGAATAAATGGATTATTTTCATTTATTAAATATCTTGAGAAGTTATATCAAATACAAAAGTGAAAGGAATTAACTTATTTTTGATTACAATATAATATAATATTAATTCAAATATTATAATTTAAATGAAGACTTATGTTTGAGATTTATAACAATAGATGGCGGTAGCCCCTTTTGAATAACGAAGCTTCAAACTCGAAAGTTACCACGGTTTGTCAAACACTAATCGTTCTAGCAGTAGAAACTCAGAACTGTGCGTAATATTTTACTTTATATACATAATTTTTGACACATTCACAGTCTTAAACTAAAACGTTATATCCCTTTTACTTCTTACGACACTTGTCAATAATATTTCAAATTCTAAGATTGTTATTTTAAACACATAAACTACAAAAGAAAACATTTTTACTCCGGCCAATAAAACTGTACGTATCTCTTTATCTACACAGCTGTTATTTTTGTGTGTATGATATACAAGATACAATTAGTAGAATTACCATGATAACAACTTCTATGTCATTACAAAATTGGAAAAGTCACCTATAAATACTTTGTTTGACAAAGATCCAAAGTCATGAATATCTGTGGTGAGTTAAAACGTCGAATTAAACAGTTACATTTCCTATAAGTTTTATAATTTCTTATTGGTAAATGTTAGTGTTGAAATTGTTGGGGGTGGATGAGCGGGTGGGGGGCTTCTAAGCATCTTTACATATTTCTTTTTTCCATTTCTTGGCAGCTTTTTTACAATAGATTTCAATAGCTATTTTCTATTATATACGTATACTTCTAATTGTCTGTGTTTACTGTTTTATTTGACATATTTATTTTTTATCATTCCATCTTTTTTTTCTGTTGCCCCCAGTGGCACAGCGGTATGTCTGCAGACTTACAACGCTAAAGTCCGGGTTTCAAAGCTACACAATGGGCTATCTGTGCTCTGCCCACCACGGGTATCACTCAAGTAAGTAATCTCAAAACGAAACTATCAAGGCGACAACGTCTTTAGCCGACTGTGCTGTTTATGAAACTGAAAAGGGTTTCTGTGTGTTTGAAGTTAAGCACAAAATATATCCTTAGTAGAAGAGTTATCTCGGAGAACTGTAAAAGATATCCCTTGTAGAAGAGTTATCTCGGAGAACTGTAGCTCCCATTATATCTACAATAAACCATCTATCAGATTAATTGTGTATTCGAAAGTCTTACATGTAAAGTGGAAAGGAAAACTAAACTCGTGACGACATTTTCTTAGAAGTTACAGCTTTTATAGTAAGTAAGATTTATTTTTAGAACAGGTATGACGTTTCGATCACCGGTGCGATCATTCTCTTGTGTACTTGAGTAAACAGTTCTCCAGATAACTCTCCCTAGTAGAAAGAAGAGTTATCTGGAGAACTGTAAAAGATAACTAGGGATATCTTTTACAGTTCTCCAGATAACTCTTATCTGGAGAACTGTAAAAGATATCCCTAGTAGAATTTCTTCTACTAGGGATATCTTTTACAGTTCTCCAGATAACTATTCTACTAGGGATATCTTTTACAGTTCTCCAGATAACTCTTCTACTAAGGATATATTTTACAGTTCTCCAGACAACTATTCTACTAGGGATATCTTTTACAGTTCTCCGAGATAACTCTTCTACTAGGGATATCTTTTACAGTTCTCCAGATAACTCTTCTACTAGGGATATCTTTTACAGTTCTCCAGATAACTCTTCTACTAGGGATATCTTTTACAGTTCTCCAGATAACTCTTCTACTAGGCATATCTTTTACAGTTCTCCAGATAACTCTTCTCCTAGGGATATCTTTTCACCGTCCCCTATTTGTAGTTTTTACTTAATTTTCTACGTCTATCTTATAGAAATATGCAACGCTATTTGTTCATAGACTAGTTGATTTAAACATTATATCCATAAATATATTATTATTATAAACGTTTATCACTTTTGTGATATTACTTGTCTGTGAAAGTGTATCATGTGTTAATGATGATATAAAAACTATTGTCTATGGAGTCTAGTAAAACATTTTGCGAATTTTTCCCTCGGACTTCTCGTTTCCAAAAGACCACGTTTATTTACAATAACTATTATTAAAGAACAATTTTATAACATTCCCTGAAATAACAGCTTTTTGGGAAGTGTACTTGGAAAAACAAAACCATATTGTTAAAGTGAGAAAATCCTTTTGTTGGATTATCTGTGAATAATGATTAAAAATGTAATGGAGAAACATAAAACTTTTTGAAACAATATTTAACGTGGAGGTAAAAATAATCAACTATATACATAAATAAATTGTGTGTTGAAAACGATAAACATCAAATCCACACGTTTTATGTGTGAGGAATTCTACAAGACATTGAATGCTAATTTCTGAGGGAGATACCACAGCTACTCATGTACTTCTAAGTATAATTCGTCCATCTTTCTCTTCCAAATTTCAGTACATAAACTCGAGAGCTTTTGTGACTTATCAGCTCTCGTCTCCGGAATCTGGATCTTCTACATTGGCAGCTTGATTAATCCCACGGATATGTACGTATTGTACTGTTTTTCGCTCATCGGCTGTTGTCGCATCTTGCCACCAGGGATGAGCAAATAAATCTCCTACATGTTCAAGTGGTTTTCCTTTTGTCTCTGGGAGCATGAGAAACAAATAGATCCAACCAAGAACAGCGAAACTCATGTGACACCAGAAAGTTCCTGTTTTGATAAACAGACATAGTTTTATAAAAACATGTTCCAAATATCACACACTCTTCTTCCGATAATACTGTTGGACATTTCTCTCTAAATAAATATAATTGTTCTATAGAAATTGATTTTTCAACCTAAATAATACTATATACAATTCAAATGCTTAACGGTACCTCTTCCTACACTTCATGAGATAAACTACATCTCTGTGCCAACGTATAGTTTATACCTAGTTGCAATATGTTTGGCTTTACTTTCTAAGACAATAACGCAGTTGTTTATAATCAGTTAAATAACACTTATATTGGTGAAAAAAAAACAACTGAACAATAAATCATACTGTTTCAATTGTCTTCAGCAATTTAAAAAACAATTCCGTAATTGATATTTTCACTAATGCAGCAAAAAAATATTCTTAAATATTTTAGTGGTTTTTTTTTCATTTATACAAATACACTATTCTCAATATTCAGTCTGAGAAAAAAAAGTATGGTGAGAATCGAGATACGTTATTAAGAGTATTCAGGTATTAGAGAGAAAAACACAGAATACAAGAAAATGGTTCTTAAACCATAAGATGTTTTGTTTTCAACATAATATTATTTTGACTACATGATTTAAACGAAAAGACCGCGCTAACATAAGATAATTAGTTTTTAAACAAATAATGACTTTTGAAAACAAAGAAGATGAGTTATGTTTTCTTTTGTGAACTTTGAGATTAATCAATACAACACCTTTTCTAACCCTAACTAGGCATGAAAGTCATGTTTGATAGTTTCCATTTCATGCTACGCGGTGGTCCAAAATGTATGACACGTTTATTAAGAGCTATGTAAAGAACACGTTTAGAGTATTGATTCCATTAAAAATAATGTACTTAGAAACAAAACGTATATTTATCAATACGTGGAAAGTCTGATCAATGCATTTTCTCTTTATTTGTTTTAACAAATTAATTTCATTAATATACGATAGCAGCATAGAGGGCATTCTTTAGAAAAGCAATTTTTATTTTATTTTTATTGCAAATAAATATGAATTAGCTCTTTGATGTATACAAATTGACACGTATTTGTGGATAGTAAAAGAACATAACATTCGTGGTTATGAGGTTCTCAAACTTTACGTCTTCGTCAAATTAAAACCCTAAACAGATAGCTTTTGAAAAACCACTCGCCTTAACACAGATTATTTTTATTTTTCTTATAATTTAATAAAGGAATGGATTATTTGACGAGTTTAGGAAGACGTATGTGATATAGTGTCGTAATAATTACAATCCAAAATTTGTTTCTCCAATGCAAAGGGCATTTTTCGAAACTACAAATAAGATGAGTTATTTCATATGTAAAGATTAACTCACTAACATTATTACGAAAAGAATTGAGTTATTTCATATGTGAAGACCAACTCACTGGTGTTATTACGAAAAGAATTGAGTTATTTCATATGTGAAGACCAACTCACTAACATTATTGATCTTCACATATGAAATAACTCAATTCTTTTCGTAATAATACCAGTGAGTTGATCTTCACATATGAAATAACTCAATTCTTTTCTTAATAATGTTAGTGAGTTGATCTTCACATATGAAATAACTCAATTCTTTCCGTAATAATGTTAGTGAGTTGGTCTTCACATATGAAATAACTAACTCACTGGTATTATTACGAAAAGAATTGAGTTATTTCATATGTGAAGATCAACTCACTAACATTATTAAGAAAAGAATTGAGTTATTTCATATGTGAAGATCAACTCACTGGTATTATTACGAAAAGAATTGAGTTATTTCATATGTGAAGATCAACTCACTAACATTATTAAGAAAAAAAATATGACGCTTTAAAAATAAAAAAGCTATTTTTCTTTGATCTGGCAACGTGTCAGGAAAAGACCTCCAATAATACGTCAAATCCAACGGGTGTATACTCGGAGAGGATAATAAAAGTAACTTTAGTTTCAGACATATCTGTCAAATCATCTTATTGCTGGCAGTAAAGTATTAATTTTTTTTTTTATAAATGTAAGTATATCTCAAATATACAATATGTACGCACAGTCTCTGAAAAACTTTTAAATCCAATATTCTTTACAAATGAGTGGAAAAGTATTTACTTTGTATCTACTCGGTATACAACCTACCATATCTAGTCAGAACTTCGACGAGCCACTGAAATGTCATAGTAACAAGAAGGCTGCTAAGCCAATTTACTGATGTTGCCGTAGCGTAGCACGTGCTCCTGGCCCACAGAGGATAGATCTCAGAGTTTACTGTCCAAGGCATAGAACTCATACCTGAATAACATTAAACCAAATCTGTAAGTATTCTAAGCGAAATATTAAAAGCTCTTTTTATAAACAAACGAAAATTCATATATTAAAAAAAAATTAAACTGGCTATGCCAACAACTATATTACAATGAATACAGCAAAAGCGTTAGCGTTTTAAAACGTGCACAGTCATGATTAGTTTTGATTTTGAGAAAAGCCACACGCCAATGGATTATTTGAATTGTCTCCTAGAATTTTAGCGTTATAAGCCCCGAATCATGCCGCTGTTTTTACAAGGGGATTGTTGGATATACAAGACTTTAAATAATTTAGTTTTTATTTAGTGATTTAATATTTAATGATTATTTAGTTTTGATAATAAGAGTGTTAAAAGCTAATTATTTTAAAAGCAATAGTTATGACAAGTTTTGTAACATAACTCTGTACTAGTCTGTATGTTGTGTGTGTAGTTTAATTGTTGTACTAGGCTTTCGTAATATTGTTGACGTCATCTTACTCGAAGCTTCTAAGTTTATGAGGTTATATTTAATATTGTTCTTAATAGAGGGCTAGACATTTCTAGATTTTTCTGTCGCTTGTTATAAATACATACAGATACAGAGAGTAAGTAAGTTAGTGAAAGTGAACTTAGACTGTGTGATTGTCAGTTTAGCCATAAAGGGCGATTTCTAAAGTGGAAGTTTCACAGTTTGTATCGTAATAACAGGGATAGAGAAGAATAATTCGTCTTGTCATTTTGGTTCTAAAGTAACTGAACCAGCCTGTGTGGACTTTTGTCGTAAAAGAGAATTATTTAAAGCGCTGGATACAACTGTGGTAACCCACGGGGTAACGTAAGTGAATTTATCACGGATTGTATTGTGATAAAAGAAGAGGGAAAAAATAATATGTCAGTTACTAAATGATGGTAACTGTGTTACCGAAACTAGTTGGCAGAAAGTTCTAATAAAAAAGTTACGTTTCATTGTGCCAAAAAAAAAGTTTTTTTTTCTCTTATTACCTTAAATAACATCTGTCTTTTATTCATCTAGTTCGTGTAGTGTCGATTAAATAAAATTCGTTCAGATGTATTACTAACGTGATGTTTTTGAAATTTACTCTCTTGAAAGTTCTCACATTTTATTCTGTCTCCAATGCTCTTTTATGACAATATAATGAGTTATTATAAAGTTGCATTGGAAGAATCCTAAGTGAAACCTTTTTATCGAGTCGAACAGACATTCGTTATGTCGATTTTGAAATTGGGTTCTTCTTTATTCTCCAAATTTTCTCAACCAGTTCTTTTCATACTAACATAATTGGTAATCTAAATTACTGTACCTTGCTCGAGAAGTATCTAAGTTGTATAATTTATGATCGATTAGAAGCTGGTGCAGTAATGAGCTTTGATTTGTTACCAAACACACAGAGAAGTTCGATGGAGCTAACACTGAATAAATATACGACTCGCTCGGTCCGTAGTGGTCGTTGTGAAAAACAAAACGGAAATGGGAGGAGGAAAAATAAGGACAATTAACAATTTACACAGCAGTCATAAAAAGGAAAATGTAACACACTCTATGCTATGATCAGGAGTAAACCTACACATACTCTATATATATATATATATACGCATATGTTATCTAGACTAAATAATACATATATCTTAGGTTATTATATCAAAATGTATTTATTAAACTGAAATTAAAAGCTGGATAAATTAAATATTTAAGTGTGCCAGTAAAATTATAAGGTTCGTTGATCACTAAATTCTTTAAAAACGTGAGCAATTTTAGTGTTTTTATTCTCGTCCTATTATGTACGGAGTTAGAACACTTTAATCAGTAGAAAGGCATTTAGAACACTTTAATCAGTAGAAAGGCATTTAGAACACTTTAATCAGTAGAAAGACATTTAGAACACTTTAATCAGTAGAAAGGCATTTATAACACTTTAATCAGTAGAAAGGCATTTAGAACACTTTAATCAGTAGAGAGGCATTTATAACACTTTAATCAGTAGAAAGGCATTTATAGAAATTCCGGAAGTTTAAGTTTGTCAGATTATGTTTCAGATTGTATACGTAGTATTGAACTGATCCAGGGGATTTTGTTTTCAACCAGTTAAAAGAGTTTAGCCCTTTAATTGATAAACTTTTGGACACAAATTTTGTCCCGTAAATATAGTATTTCTTTTAAACCGTCATTAAAAACCTCTATTCTTTAAAGTTAATCACTGGTTGGAAATTTTAACTTTCATGCCTTTCCTTAACCGATACAAATATATATATATATATATCTTTGAAGATGTTTTTTTTTATCGATTATCTACATGCTAAGCACGTATTACTTCGTTTCCGACGTACTTATTGAACATTTACAATCGTGAATTAACCTTTGGCACATTTTGTTACTACATGACTTTATCACTATATTTACTTCATCTTACGAAGGCCTGACAGGGCCTGGTTGCTAGGGGGCGCTCGACTCACTATGTGCGGGTCCCAGGGTCGAATCTCCCGTCACACCGAACATACTCGTCCTTTCAGCCGTGAAGGGCTTTATAATGTGACAGTCAGTCCTACTATTCGTTAGTAAAAGCGTAGCTCAAGAGTTGGTGGTGAATGGTGTTGACTTGCGTTAGGGACGGTTAGCGCAGATAGCCCTCTAGTGGCTTTTGTGCGAATTTTTTATTATGTACCTCATAACATCCAAAACAAAAAACAATATCAGGTAAATTGTGTATTTTATATAATTGTAATTAACTATATATAGGATCCAGGGCATTATTCTTGCGGAAGGTTGTGCAGATGTATCAGCTCGTTATCATATTTATTTATCTTTTGCGAGATATGTACTTTTTATGCTATTTAAGTCTAAAAACTACATATCTTAAAACTAACTTTAGTTTTATAAATAAATTGTTAGAGTATTAATTATGTTGAAATATTCAACGCCATAAAGCTAGAAAGTGGGATATATGTATCCGTGAGACTTACCAGAAGCGAAACACATAAGATACAGTGAAAATCCTATAAAGATCAACCAGTCATAATCCGAATAACACCACTCGTAGGCCCATATCAAGGGACGTTCTAGCATCGTGATGTTACATTGGCTCATGGTTGAAATATCAGACTTTTCAGGCTCTAATGAAGTGCAATTTCCATTTGATAGTCTAGATGAGAGATCTAAGAAGCAGTAACCACAGTAGGGATTGTTCACGCCCTGAGAACAAGAACTGAAAAACGTATGAAAACTATGTAGTTTTTGTTTCGCTGTAGTTTAAACTTGTTAATGTAAAAGAAGTGTAAATTTCTAAATAAAACAATTAAAAAATACCATTTCATCTGTTAAACTAATGATTTGCATGTCTTCTTTGTTTAAAATATGCCGAGAATGTAATATAACCCACTTCTGTAAGTAATATTCCTCAACGTTAAAAAGTAGAAAAAAAAATCGTCCACAAATATTCGAAGTACGTCTTTTTCTGGAAGGTTTTGGTTCACTTCAATTCAGTTGTATTAATCTATATTTTGTTTACCACTGATTTCTGGTATTTATAATGTTTTGTTTTGATATTATTTCTATCACAGTGTCAACTATATATATAGATATCAAGAGTGGCTTCACTGTGTCTCTAAATAGGTAAACGCTGCTTACCTGTATAAAGAACAGACGGTTTCGGGTCCTTTAGTACTGTTAACCTCTGTACGAGGAGAGTGATTATTGGCAAGTTGAACTCCAACAGCCAAAGTTCCTAGGCTTAATGAAATCCCTTTATAATGTAAATAAATATACGTGTAATTAGGTAAATTTTGGATTTGGTACATTTTTCCAGAAAATACAAGTAAAAACTGTGAGATCGAGCATTTAGAGAAGTCAAAATGAAGCTTGCTGTTTGAAGTAGAAAAACAACAAATCTTAAGCAGCTTACGTTCTATAAACTCTCTTGAATAAAACCAGCATTTGAATTAAGTAATTTATTTGGACTATCACCACGATTACCTAAGCCTTCTACAGGTGCGAGACGTTTAATAAATAACAGGATCTAACGGAACAATTCGAATCACAAGTTTCCTAGCAACAACTAAACACAAGAACGTGCCCTAAGTTTCTTTACAAAAATTAGGCCTAAAGCCTAATAAACTAAAATAAAATAGTGTTACAAGCTCAAGAAACATAGCAAGGAATATTATTATTGTGGTTTGTTATGTTACAAGATAACATCAACAACAACAACAACAAAAAAAAACAGCATTTATCAGTCTGAAAACACGCTTTACTTTAATTAAAGATGCTGACATTGTTATTTAAATTAAACAGTATACTATTGTTAGCAGAACTGTTTGTCCTTTATGTAGAATATCGTTTGTTTTGTAATTATAGTGAAATTTGAAACACTTGCGCCAATGAAAGTTAAATGTTTGATAAAATTGTGATATAAACCACAACCAGCTATAAAGCTCGCAATTTCAAGTAACCTCAGCTCTTCTCAGCCCAGCTAACGTTGATGGTACAAAGAGAAATAGGCTTAGCGAACACAGGTCAGGTAATTTGTGTCCTTTCTATAATGCACGTGTTTGTAAAATACGTGAGGATAAAGTCGATTGGTACGTTTCATTCAATGTGATGTTAGCACTTTAATTTATTCTTTTTGTAGCCTGTTTTGTTTAAAGATCAGTAACTTTTGTATTGTTTTTTTTTTTTACAAAACTCGACGATTATTCTACAAATACAAATAGGGATATACGGAGTCTCGGCTTCATTATCAGGGTTGTTTTGAAATTCTAATCGGCCAGCTCCTCAGGCTATACTTGGGGGCCAGCTCCCCAGGCTATACTTGGTGGGGACAGATTGATATTTGTTAATGATTTTAAGCTGCCATACACTACTTATCTGCGTTTTATCACGAATATTTTATGAGCTGCACCATTTGAAAGCTATATTACTACATTTACTGGGGGCATGCTCCCTGATCCCCTATAGAATTATAAGTTTCGCATGCATTCCAACAAAAAGGGTTAAGTGGAAGCATTACTTGAAATTCACAATCACGATTTTGATTGGATTTGTACAGGAATGAAGAAGCAAGTGGAACTGTTTTAATGTCGATTAAATAATGTCGATTATTAAATTTAATGTCGATGTTGAAATACAATGTTACAAAAATGTCTGTTGCACAGCCGAAAAAAACAAACAAAAGTACTCTGCACTTTTGGCCGATGTGTGGCGCTATAAGTGTGACGGAAAAACCAAACTATTCTGTCAGATAAAAGTAGTTCAAATGTTGGCGGTGGGTGTTGTTGAATTTTTACCTTCCTTCTAGTCTATCAGCTCAAAATAAGGAAAATATTTGAGGTCTTGAAAGACGAAAGTGATAAAAAATGATTGTTTTAACTTCATTAGGAGGGGGGGTCCTGTTATTGGTCAAGATAATTTTCCATAAGATCAGATAGAGGTGAATAGATTTTCAGTTGTCTCCCAGTGGCACAACGGTATGTCCGCGGACTTACAACGCTAGAAACCGGGTTTCCATACCCGTGGTGGACAGAGCACAGATAGCCCATTGTGTTGCTTTGTGCTTAATTACAAACAAACTAGATTTTCAATTGTCCTGATTTTCAAAATATAATAACTCTTGCACGTAGGCAGAAGAAGCAATCTTTACCTGAGGTTCTGCAACTGTTTTAAATCAGCACAAAAGTGGAAAGGAAGGATTTTGTTGTCAATTTTTTGTGATACTTTCCATTTGACTTCAGTAATCCATAAAAATAGGAACGCTCACCATAGGATAAAAACGAAAAACAAATCAAACTTAAAGCCACCTCATGCTTGAACAGCAGGTTAAAAACAGCAATATTATTTAAAATATTCGTGTTTGTTACCCTAACACAAAACACACAAGCCCAATTGTATTGCATGAGGATAAAAAAAAAGATTATGTAATTTTGCTCATATGAACTTTGTGAAGTCGTTTTCTAAGAATAATGTCCGCAAGGATGAGATGACATTTGAGATTCATATTGTCGTCGTCCTTGTTCGTTAACGCAAAGATACACAATAAGCTATGATGTCCATCGCGAGGATCGAACTCCGAACTTTAGCATTGTAACCGACCCATCTAGAGACTAGGGTACAGAATATTGTTTACTTCATTTCATACCGGCAGTACTACAATCGTTTTATAATACTAACAAAACTGGACATCTAAATACGCTATGTAATTTGGAGAGCAGTATCTATCAACTATTAAAAAGCAGTCCGATAAGAAGGCCCCCCTGTTTTTTTTATTTTAATAACAAAAGAAAATTTGAATTAGATTAGTAACACCCAATTTTACATTCACAGAATAGGGGTTCAACATCGTTAGTACAACAACAGCCGGTGAACATTATTTATTGATATTACATTAATGGATGAGAGATTACAAAAGAAAGATTAATTATTTGTTTTACCAACCTGCTAAACTGATAAGAGTGAGAGATCGCCTCCCTATTTTATCAACTGCAAACAGTCCAATAAAGGAACAACAAAAGATTAAAGCAGCGATCCCAATTGATATCCAAACGGAAGCTGTCTTATCTTTAACTCCAGACTCTTGTATAATGGTGGCGCTGTAGCACCTGAAAACAAGATGAATATATATCATATACAATGAAATATTTGTATCCTATACTTATGTACGATGCTTGTTTTGAACAATGGAAATTAAGCTTATCAGTATCAGGTCAAATGTTTCCTTTTTCATCAAAATAATTCATTATTATATGAAGCCATTAAAAAGTCAATTTATACCATAAAAAGAACACTATACGATATTTTATAAACAGTTATTCGAATTTGTTTTTTTAGAGCAAACCCACGTTGGACTACCTGTTGTGTTCACCGCGGGGAATCGAACTCCCGGATTTTAGCGTTCTGAGTCCGTACACTTACCCCTGTCCCATCGGGGATTACTCAAGTATGAAACATGCTATGTTTGTTTGGTTTTTTTTTAATTTCACGCAAAGCTACACTAGGGCTATCTGTGCTAGCCGTCCCTAATTTAGCAGTGTAAGACTAGAGGGAAGGCAGCTAGTCATCACCACCCACCGCCAACTCTTGAGCTACTCTTTTACCAAAGAATAGTGGGATTGACCGTCACATTATAACTCCCCCACGGCTGATAGGGCGAGCATGTTTGGTGGGACGGGGATTCGAACCCGCGACCCTCAGAAACATGCTATGAAAATAATAATAATAAATGAAAGTTGTAACTTTTTTGTGACTGAATTATACATTACATTATATCTAAAATATTACAACGAGATCATTAGGATGTGAATTAGAGATTATCAAGGAATATTCGAGGAACATTATCATAAATTTTCATTTTATAATAAATCTAAATTTTTCAAAATTCTACATCGTTGTGTCTTTGATTTTATATATGAACACATTTTATGTAACCAACTAAAAACTCTCTATCATCGTGACTAAAACGCTCAATAAACTAAAGTTCCACGTTTCATAGTCCACGTTTATTATATTACGTGAATAACCAATAGTTGAATAAAACATGGTGAGTCTTTTTTTTTTGAGAAATCATGATGTATGCTCATTATTAAAATCGTTTAAGATGTTTTAATCAATATTTCACAACTATTGGTAAATTGGAGAATAATACACGAACATTCTACATACTTTTCAACAGATTACCTATATTATTGTTCCTACGAATAACGCACAAACGATTTTGTCAATCTTTCTCAATCATTCTACGTTATCACAGGCAATATGTAATAAATAAAAGATGTATAATTTAAGGATTACTTGCAAGTGATTTCTGATCAAAAAGGAAACTATGTAAATAAATCGGAACTCAAATAAGCTGACAAGAAGCACGTAATTACTACCCAGAAGAAAAAAATCCTGCATAGTAATTAGATTGCTTTGAATCATCAGTTGAGGATATTTTCGTCCATAATCCGAATAGTATCTCATGAGATTCGGCCTGCTTAGGAGATTTCGGTTAGTCTTAAATCACCTATGCTAGCAATTAAAAATAATCTTCGTAACTGTTTTTATGGTTTAATATATATATATGTTTATATAAATCTTTACAGCCAAAAGTATACACATAGCATTACAAATTAATGGATGCTACAAAAATAACCGAAAATTTAAAAGTAAATCCAAACTAGATGCTTAATTTAGATAAGTAATGCTCAATTTCGCGAATTTTATTCCAATAAATCTCTCAAGCTCAAGAATTGGACAAGAAGTGTTATCTTGACCAAAAAACACGTATAACTCACGTGCCAGTGTTGATAGCAGTAAGTTGCTGGATAAGTTGAAGAAGACAGCCAACTGTTAAAGCACGTTTAACAGTAGGATTTCTCAAGATTTGAAGAAAAACTGGAGTTGACCCTGCCAGTGTTCCAGAAAAGAATCGTTTATTATTTTTTAAATACAGAATACTTTTTATCAAACACTATACTATATCTATATATATAGTAACACAACGTTAAATCACCTGTTTTAGGTTGTCCTTAAATATTGCCTTTCACGCTTACAGTATTCAGAGTACAATACATGAACAAGAAACACTGGTTTAATTTATATATGAATTTCTGTGCTCCTTCAGCCCAATTTAAGAGTGACTGAGGCTAACTAGCTTGATATTAAACTAACTTCTCTTGGTTTCTTGACAATGTTGTAGTTTATGTTATACAGCTTTTATATTTTAGAAAACCAAACACACGATATGACCAATTTATACTTGTGTCTTCTGTGTCCAATTAAACTATATTTCATCCCTTTTTTTGAGACCAGTAATTGAGAAATGTGTACAAACATATCAGTCCTAGTCGTATAAAGCTCAATTTAGGGACGTTTATTTCTTTTCAAACATCTTCTTTTATACTATTTCATGCAAGACTAATGGAATTTTCTAGTTAAATCAGTTTGATTTTTTTTTAGTTTTCAGTTCCGTAAGTTGTAATATAGCATGGATTTTGTAGGGTTTAATATTTGAAAGTAAGTGCCTTGTTTCTTAAGTGACATGTCGATTCAATTCGTATGCCGAGCCCTTCTTCCATCCCACAAAGTTACCTGAAATACTGAGGAAACAAATATGGCGCGGCAATGTGTTTCATATATATAAAAAAATATATCTGTTTGAGTGATTTTTGAAATCTAATCTTTCATTGTAAATTTTAAAAATATTTTTCATTGTTTTAAGCAATTGGTTTTTATTTACTGCTCTGATAAATAGATCAATCAGTTTCAATGGTTTACAAATATTACATCACCATTTTCGACATAAAAGTTATAATTTTAAAAAGGTACAACTAAACATATATTTTTACATTTTTCTAAATTTTTAAATACCGTTATATAAAACACATATGATTATTTTATTTTAAATAAACCCCATCCTATAAAGTTCAGTAATTTTCTTTAAAACTGAATTCCCAAAAAAAACGGAATAATGAAACATAATAGTACATTCTACTGCTGCCATCTGTTGTGTGCTTTTCGTATAAAAAGATTTAATTCTTTCTATATATAGTCGCTTTTAAAAATAAATTTTGTACGTTATCTTAAAACCTAACCTGTGGTTACTAGCTCCCTCTCCGTCTCCAGACAGTTGGCCTTAATTGTATCAAGTTCTTCCTCTGCAATGGTCACGTGCCCTCTGACGTTCTTCAAAACTTCCAAAGCATCTTGATACCTGCCTTGCGCAACCAACCACCGTGGAGATTCCGGCATCGTAAGAAACCCAAAAAACTGGATAAAAGAAGGGACTGCTGCTAATCCTAGCATAATCCTGAAAGTATATGTGTGTATAATGTCTTTTCAAGCACACTGAGCTACTATATTACGAGTAACAAAAACATAAGAACCCACATTTCTTTTGGCACAGTGAAAGGTTAAAAACATCAGGGTTAGTATCTATAGTGTTAGGTTAGCTTATATTCAGTTACAGTCCAACTAAGCCCCAGTAACTTCCAGTCCACTACTCGTGAGTTGAATGTTGAATATGAAATTCAGAACACTAAGAATAATGATCAGAGTAGACCAACTGACCGGTACCAGACTACTTGAGCCCAGTTCAAGGTCCAGAATACTTGTTTCATCTCTGCAGCTGACACAGCAGCTAGTTTGAAATTTCTATTTTTCTAAGATCACCATAATTCGTATCAGTGCCACTGGGTAACTGTATATCCTTATAGAAGAGTCAATTCAGAAATGCGCGATTCGTTCAGTGTAACTTTGTTAAATATGACTATTTTTGTGACGGCTCAATTATGTTGTGAAGAAGTATTAATATTGAAGGACTTTCAGATCTTATTCTGCTTCTCGGGTACAGGTATAGTTATTCTACTCTATATTAACCTGGCATTGATATCAAGTAACAATAAGTGAAGTCGAACTTTTTCCTGTTGAGTAATGACACCCGATGTCACACTGACAGAACTGTGAAGAACCACCTCGAAGAAGAAGCTAAATAAACCATGAATTGACCAGAGATCCCAGCATAAATCGCGAAGAATACTGTTGGGAACTCTCTCAACGACGAGTATTTTACCAAACTGTGACAAAAAGTTTTGCATTGCTGTTGCTGAAGTATCAAACAGGATCATTTATAATATCTAATTGAATAGAGTTGTTTTAACATTTTGTGAGTGTAAAACACTTAAACACACCATTTGTTTGTAGTATCGTTCGCCGTGTGATCAGACGTTATGCCTCACAGATGGAGAGATTATATCAATGTCAGAAAGTCTGTAATATAGTTCTCACAGACAGATTGATTCAATCAGAATAACCCGAATTGTCTTGGATTCGAGAATGTTCCACAGGTTGTAACGGGTGACATACTGTCAATTAATGAATATCCGTTACGTGACAAATAAATAACTTCTTGGAAGATCCGCGACACGCCTTGTCTTGTGATCCGTTAGGTGACAAATAAATAACTTCTTGGAAGATCCGCGACACGCCTTGTCTTGTGATCCGTTAGGTGACAAATAAATAACTTCTTGGAAGATCC